GCCAACGATACTTCGTCTCGATTGTGGTTGCCGTGATATCATCGATGTCTGAAAAAGACATCGATGTAGTAATCATGTTCAGTGCAATAATTTCTCGCACTGACATCAAAATCATGGAGTCTTGATGAATTGAGAGCCTGCTCCGAGAGAAAGCGAAACCCCAGTGGTATAACCGTACCACTCCCTGATATTACCCAGGGGAGGCATCCATGGATTGTTCTCAGGAGCAGATCGTAACGCATCACGATCCTGCTCCTCTTGCGCAGTGTCTCTGTGGACAATGCGATCGCCGCAATCACTGGGATTGGTACGGCTATGATGACTCCGCGAGGAGTCATTGACATCATCACGATGACTCGCATCGTCATATTTATCACTCGCATCAAACGAATGCGAGTGCGATCGGCTTGGTCCCCGTGACGAGTCCATGGACTCATCGGACGAGCCGAACAATTCATGACGCAACTCAGGATCGAGACTGCCACGTGGCTGAGCAGTCGTCGTTTCTGCACCCGCAGTTTTACGGCTGGACTTCACGGTTGACTTCGAGTCGGACGGGGAGTCCCACTCGCCCGAATAGAGAAGCTATATTCCGGATTCGACGTCCATGGGTCTACGACCCGCAGCCAAAGCTGCGGATTAAGAATCTGCGCGTGGATGACCACTGCACCTGCAACTATGGGTGTTGCAGGCTGCTCATTAGCAGCAGCAGGCGCATTATCGCCTGCTGACGAGTCTTGAGAGTCTTTCTCTCCGGCTGCACGCATCCGTTCAGCCGCTTCAGATGCAGCCTTGCTCGCGCAGCGCATGGACGGACTCTTCATGCGCTGTAAAGTCGAAATGAAAATTATTAGACCAACAAGTGCTCCCCGTCCCCAGAGCGACACGACGGTGGTATCTCTGTCACCAATTAATCATATCATTCACTATAGTGAATGATGGTTGAGGGTGGGGTAATGTTACAGGGTGGTTGATGTAGATGTTACATCAACCAAGTAGTGGAGAACCCAAGGATATTACCCTCGGGGGTAATATCCCGCCAACATCACCTCTTCTCGAGTGATGTTGATCGAATATTATCAAAATAGATAGTACCCAGAATCGATACTTTCTGTCAATTTATGTAACAGCCTCACCCCGTTACACCAAGGTCTTCATAACCGTCAGCAATGTCAACGAATGGAGTCATCTTCGTGTGAATCTCGCTCATAACTTCATCTGTATCCCAAAGCATGTCTCCAATGATTTTGTCGGCAATTGGCGCATTGATTGTATGCTGCCTCGGTACCTGCTGAGATCCAAAATGTGAATGTAAGGTACGATTCACGGGCTAGACATTCTCAAAGTAGCTCTTCTTGAGTTCATTAGAGAGGCCTTGGTACTCCTGCCACCTTTCAGGGTGCTGTTGTTTCAGGTGCTGCATGTAGTTGGCTGTTCGGAATGGGGCCGAGTAATACTTGGTGTTGGTAGTTATCGCACGTTTTGTGCCTGGCAAGCTCTCGCGACCGAAGTGAATACAGAAACGACATTCCATTGAGACAACAGTGCGGTCCCTAATGCTCCTCTGATAGAATCGAACACCATATTTTAGAGAATGGTCATTCTGGAAGAGAGTCTCTCGCTTGTCTTTTTAGGACATGTGATACGCACCAGATTTTCCTACGGGTTGTTGCGGGTACCAGGGCTTTGGGTTTAATTTGGCTGTTAGTCGCGAAGGACGGGGGTCGTTGTAGATTGTGAGGTGGGTCCCCGTTTCTCTTGTCCATTAATTTTTTTCTCACACAGTTTTCACGGACTCGCTCACTCGCCCACTACTCCGAACGATCTCCCAATCACAATCTTCCTAAGTTTCTAAGCCATTTCCAACCAAGGTTATTTACGGCTCGCCAAAAATATTATTTACGGCGTCAAATCCGTAAATAACCCAAATGTCCGTATATAAGAGGCCTGATAATGGCGCAATATGTCCCAATATGGTGTTGATGCTGATAATGAGCGCGGATGCATTGTGCGGTGAGCCAGGAAGCCATTAGTAGACCACGATTGCTAACGAAAATGACTTCAACTCACAAGAACAGGAGCGTTGATGCCATTACACTGCTCTAACGAGAATTTACAGACGCTTTAGGCATTTGCGAACGACAACGTGAAGCGTGTTGCTACAGTTTCACCTCCAGAATCGAGATCGCGAGCCGTTATCTGACCTATGGATATAAACTCATTTACACAGTTGTGGAGCGTATTTCTCGGATATATGCGACACAGTGACCCGTAGGCAGCTTTTTTGGTGCTACATCGTGCGTTTCACTGAATGAAACTGCCACACGCGCATCTTTGTGCGTCAAAGACAAAGGACATGGAAGCAAAGCAGTCCGGTGCATCCTTTTCTTCGAGGAGCAACGTATTGCAACATCTTTTGTTACGAATGAGACCAGAGACAATTGTATAACACGTAAGCAGTACGGCAGCAGTACGTTCAGCGTTGCGCGAGCGTGTAGTGAGGCTAGAAGTGAAGCGACTGTGTGTACAAACAAGACACCAGAAGCAATTGACCAAGACGATCTGTTCAGCGATAGGTCAAAGCTCTGTGAGCATTGCAGTGGAGCCAGCAATGATGCGAGGTATGGAAAGGCAAAGCGCATGAGCACATCGAACATACGTACAGCTTAGTGGATGCTATCTTTTGAGATCAGATTTACGTCGAATGGACGAAAAGTTTCGGTATCCGCTATTTCCGGTTCAATTATAACTCAAAGATATTCTTCGCATCCTGGTTGGCATCTGGACTCGGCGACGTTAGTAGCCTCCTTGCACATTTTGTAGACCACGGTAGCCAGAACTTTGTGAGACGTGTTTGATGTCTGTAGCGGCTCAGAAGATGGAGAGAAGTTTTGTCAAATGACGAGTACGTCAGCAGCTGTCATGACCGTACAACACATGCAGTATACCGAGACTCTTAGCGCAAAGGAACGATGGATATGTTATTGCCAATGTGGGAAGGTACAATACATCGAGACTCTCGATACGAGCCAATGCCAAGTACTCGAGTACAGAGTTTCTTTTGTAGTCCGTCGAGATGAACAGTCTCGTCACGCCATCACTAGAGAACAAAGGTGTTGGGATCAGCTCCGATGTGCTTTAAACGAAGTGCCTATTCAGGATGTCTTTGCAAGACGAGCAAATTGTGCTGAAATTGCATCCAACTTCGAAGAAAACGCATCGTCCTACCGAAAGTGATGAATGCCTTGTGAGACAAACAGCGCGATACTCGCAAGGAAAGAAAGGTGGTAATTGTGACTGAACCGAATCAGATGATATCCGCAGTGCATCACACTAGCGCATCGCAAGCTTTTGTGTGTGCTAGCTATTGTCTAGGCTAGCCTTAGTATAACGTTGGTTAACTTGCCGGGCCAAAGCCTCTCTCTAGATCAACGTCACGTGCGGATGTGATGGCAGCTTCAATAGTAGTAGCACTATTCGTCTTTATGAACTAGTACTGTTTTGTTCGTCGCCGATGCCAATTGGTGTGGACAACGAGCTGCTTTAACTATAGTGGGGAACAAGCGTCCACGTAGGCCAATACACTGACGTGGGTGTCGTAGATCGTACTGACATTGTCGAGAAACCGAATGAATTTATACATGGCATTCTGATGACCAACGCGCATGCATCGCAAGCTTTCTATATCGTCCTTCTTATGCATGTTGCGGTTGATTTGCAACAGTCAGCTTCGTTTTGTCGACCATACGAGTGATGGCGCTCATAGAGATCTCCACCTCAACGAAGACGCAATATACTGAACTCAGTCGTAGAGTCTCCTGAGACACGAAACAAACTTTGCTTGTCAACTTATATGCAACCAAACAAGTTTTGGTCAGCAGACCAGCAAGAATCTCTGACTTCATGCACGATACAGGTCGAGCAATGAAGCGATAAAGCTCAGCTTGAAGACCTGCTTGTTGTCTGACTCATGTAAGAACCTCACACAAATCTTGCTGCCCAGGTAAGCTCAGTCTCGGTGTCATTAACGTCGCAGTCGTATGACGTGACAACTCGCACGCTTCAGATAATGACTGTTGACTGCATCATGATCGTTAAAGGTCCTCACTCAAGCACAGATCTTATAGGCTTCATGTCTTCCCGACAGAGACCAGCAGATTGATACAGACCAATGTGGGATAAAGTTGGCTTTTGGTCGCACTTCGGTCGAGAAGACCGGTTGCGTCGTGGTAAACTGGACAGAAAGTAAGAGCACCGCTCCAAGGTCTCGATACCGCAGACGGACCAAACAAATGAATGGTGAGCTTGTTCTATGTCGACGTTTCTTGATCACTTCATAAGCGTGACCAAGTACAGCTGATGTGTTCGTAGCAGAAGCGAGAGCCTCAGAGCCTCTCAGACACTGAAGATGGTTGCGCTTGAAGTGAAGGTTGCTAGCACTCTGTGATGGTTCCATTAGCACGCATTGGCCGTCAAACGAACTAAGAGTCTTTATGCTGGTGATACCAAGGAAGCAGTCACGTTTGCACTTATGCTGGAGACCCAGAATGCTCCAGCCAGATCATCTGTGATCGACGCAGATGAGCGTAGTGTGCTGTCAAATACAATAAAATGACTCCAATTCGTATCGATACTTCCATCGCAAGCGAGTTAGGAGACATACAACAGTACTTGTGTCGGCTACTCACTACTGGCAGAGCTGCTACAGCTTATGGCCGACTGACGGAACAGTGCTACCGCGTTACAATTTCTGAGCTTGAGCGTGCTCCAATCAACCGTCGAGTCGTACGCGTCGTGAACCCATACTAAAATGCACTTCAGCTGGCTATTATTCAAGTGGTATCGCCTACTACATAATCGTCCTATCTGTCGTGCTGTCATCCCGTGCGTCGCATCATTGCGTCTACCCACTTTGCTTCTCTCGTCATCGAGCACAGCACCTAGACGACGACTTGTAACTGTGTCATGTAAATTTCCTTCTGTCCAGAACGCCCTCACTCTCAAGGATGCACGAGCTGCTGCTGTTGCATCTGAGTCTGCATCACTTGCTGCTGCTGGAGCTGCTGTGCAGCAATCTCCTGGGCGTGCTTCGCGCAGTGACCATTCTTCTGAGCCCACTTGGTGCAGCCAGGGTATTCGCACCGCTTGCCTCCGCCATGACCGCGGCAGAAACCGCCAGACTGGCAGCTCTTGGTGCAGCCCTCGAACTTGCACCGCACGCCGCCACCATGCTGCTTGCACAGCCCTCGCGACTGCGCGGTCTTCGGACAGCCGTCCACACTGCAAGGCTTGCCGCCGCCATGTGCAATGCACAAGTGGCCAGTCTGTGCGCTCTTCATGCATCCTTCAACTTTGCACCGCCGCCCGCCGCCGTGTAGCTTGCACATACCCTTGATGCGTGCCGCGTGGTTGCATCCCAGCGCTGCGCACAACGGTATTCCGTTCGCATCCGTTCTGATTGGCATGCCGCCCTGCGCCAATATCCGCATCTGCTGTTGTGCGTGTCCACCACGCATCAGCTGCTGCTTGTGCGACAGCATGTCGGATCCAGGCTGCATGAGCATGTTTGGAAACTGCGGCATCGGCTGGTGGCTCGTGCCACCGTATCCCGGTGCCAGCATCATCACTCCACTTCGCTGTTGCTGCTGCATGTGCGCATTGTGGTACAGTCGATTGTGCTGGTGTTGCTGCTGCTTCTGCTCTTGCTCTTGCTCTTGACGCAGCAACTGCTGCTGCTGCAACATCATCTGGTGCTGTTGTTGCTGATGGTACGGCAAATTCTGTTGCTGCTGGTTCATCATGTCGATCGTGGGCAATCCGCCCGATGATGTCGACGATGTAGAACCAAATCCAGCGTGTTGTTGATGGCTGGAATGGTTTTGTCCAAACGACGGGAAACTCGAGCTGTTGCTCGCTGCGCTCGAGTTCATCTCAGAGTAAATGGTCCGCGACGGGTTCACCTGTTGCTGCGTATGGCCCCCAAACGTTGACGAGGTGCCACCACTCGACGTTGGTGCCCCCCCACTACTGCTCCCATTGGCGCCATGGTAATCCAGCAAATTGTCCAGATTGTCCACCTGCACCACGTCGTCGCCGCCGTAGTCGTCATTGTCAATCACCGACACGTCCGTTTCAATCGACTCGAGCGTCCGTGCGAGGTGCTGAAACCGAAAGCTGTCTTGACTCGTCATGGGTTTCTGGATCGCCTGGTTCGACGTGGCATTGAGCATCGCTTGAATAATCTCGAAACTCGTCGTGCGGGTCCCCATGCCGCTCGTGCTGCGGCCACTGCCTTGTGCACTGCTGGCCCCGCCCGCACTGTACGTCGACGCCCCCGGCGTCGGCGTCATAAAGCTCCGCATGAGCTGGAGACTCGAGAGCCGCTGCAGCGTCCCGGCTTCGCAGTCCTTGTACACCTGCGTCAGCGGCTCGGGCGTGTTGCTCGCGAACGAGCTGTCAATGAAACTCAGCAGCTGCCGCATGCTCTCCTTCTTCTCTGTCAGCGAAAACGTACTGGCGCTCAACAGCTTCTGCAGCGACGGCGGCTTGGGCTCGCTCCCACCTCCACTGCTGCTATTGCTGCTGCCAGACAGAGCAGTCGACTTGTTTGCTGCTGTTGTCTCGAGGAAACTGTTGCCTCCGCTGGGCGCGCGTCGAGCTGACGGCGGCTGCTGGTCCAAGAGACACGCCAGCACGTCCTGGATACTGGCTTCCCGGTGCAACAGCGGCCGGCAGTCCACCGACGGCTCGTCCTCCATGTCCGTGGCCCTAGTGTGACTACCACTGGGCGTCGCGCTAGTGTGACTACCACTGGGCGTCCGACGACCGCTTGTCGCGCTGTTGCTGCAGTAGTTCTGTCCCGTGGAATAGCACGACGCGCCGAGCGAACGGTCCAGCGGCGACTCGGTCTTGATCACGACACAGTCCTTCTCGTGGGCGTCCAACGAGGCAGAAGCGGCCGCGAGTCGCGTCTTCATGTGCGACCAATTGGCCAATTGCGCGGGCGAGAAGAGCGACGTGTCGACGCAGTCCATCATACTGCGCAGGAGGTCGGGATTGGCGCCCGAGGCTTCGAGCGCGAGGATCGACGACGGCGACGCGGGCGGGTACGGAGCGCCGCGATGGGCCATACTGCGGCTCGCGGGGCGTACAGACAGAGGCGGATGGGCTGTGGGGGGTGGGTGGGTGCGTGCGTGCGGGCGTGTGCGACGTGGGCGGTCGGTGGTTATTGTGATTGTGTGTCGTCGTGGGCGTCTCTCCCTTTTTTTTTGTTCTTCCTGTTGGGGGATTGGCGATGGGTGAGTGGGGGAGTGGGTGGATGGGGGAGTGGGTTTTATGTGCTGAGGGAGAGAGAGAGAGAGGGCGTGCTGAACATGTTGGGGAGGAGGGGGTGAATGGGTGAATGGGTGAATGGCAGTGGTGGGTGGTAGACAGCAGCGCGTCGATTGAAGTTGGGCGGTGGGGCAGTCCAAAGCGCAGTGTGGGCGACGTTTGTTTGTTCATCGGTCGAGTTCGTAGGGTTTCTGTGGTCCGTTGTATGTTTGTATGTGTGTGTGTGTGTGTGTGCCTTTGTCTGTTGACTTGTTTGGTTTGCGGTTCCTGTAGGTTTAGGCGTGTGTGTTTATGCTGTGGAAAGGAACATTGTGGGCTGAAAGGAACCGTAGGATTCTGTCGGTGCTCGAGCCATTATATTGCCCGCCACGCACGTACGTTCGGACGTACGTGCGTACGTGCCTTTCAAAGATGATGCCCTTCCGTTCGCGTCGACGTGAACGTGTGCGCTCGTGTGTGTTGTGTGTGTGTGTAAATCAGTTTTTCCAGTTGTTGGCATAATGAGTCAACGAAGAGCGATGACCGGCTCGACGTGCGACGGTATCTATGGTGCGTGGGTGCGTGGGTGATTGGGACGAGAGACCCGACGCTACTACGACAGCTACGTGTTCAAGAACGAGGCTGTGCATGGACCATCAGCTACAAGATCTCGAATTTGCTCGTTCGTCATAGTGAGCGCACGTATTACAACGAGGCGCGCCAAGTGTCATCAGCCTATTCTCGCCTCGAGCCATGCGCTACTTCAGATACACAGCCCACTCACTACTCTCCAGTCCATATCGACGACTCGCGACTCTGATCCACTGCGACAGGACCGCAAGATTTCTTTCTTGCGGTAACTCTCTAATGATCGTAAGCAACAATGACCCGTCTCCAGTCTCACATGTCACAGAGGCAAGAAAACGTCCTGCAACGCAAGACCAGGCGCGACGTTACAGTGCCATCGCTGCATCAACTTCGCTGCATCGTGCACCGATCAGTCGAGCACGAACGTGGTCGACGATCGAAAATGGACGTCGAGTCGCTATCGGACGGCCATTTAGACGCCGCTTGAACGCCGCAGTTAAGTGGTACCTACGTCTGCCCTACGAGACGCGGCCACTGCCGCCTGCCCCGGCACACCGAAAAGATGTACCGTATCCCAGGTTTACTCACGACGGACATGGGCTGTGCCTAATCTGCCATTGGGAGGGAGCGACATTTTTTTCGAGCAACGTGCGATTCGCACGAAAGCAGATCCGCTTCAAGTGCGCGCATTTTCCGCCTCAATGCGACAAGCGGTAATCCAGTGGATAGACCCATTGCCGACGGAAGAGACCAATGCAATGCCCACGTACGCGAGTGAAGATCGGGCTGTGATTTGTGCTGTTTACGCTTGAGAGATCCACTATCGAGGCAATGGATCGCTTGTACGGTGTTTAATGCGAAAGGGAGAGAGCGAGACTGTGTATTTGAGGATACGAAAAGATCGTGTTGTCGGCTACTGTCTATGTAAATTGTTTCCTGCTGATCGGGTCGTTCGTTTCATAACGTCCAGACGACGCAAAAATAGCGGCAGAAGTGGCGGTGGACGCGGACACAATATAAGGCGCTTGCAAAGAGGCGCACGAAGTGATCCGAATGCTCGAGGAGTGCGTCGGTCGCACAAAAGAATAGTCCAACGTATTCGGCCCGTGCATCAGGTGGGAAAGACAAAACCAGATTTACACATGGAAAAAACTCATAAATAATGTCAACGAAATCACATTACTACGTTTGAACGTACTTTTTTTCACTCGTGCTGCAGGACACGGTATCCGAAGGACGCACTATGCTACCGACGCGTCAGTGAAAGGCTCTATGCCATTGCTGCTATCTTCTGACTCGAGCACATGTGTCGATTACGGAGCAGGGCAAACGAAGTATGTAAAAGCTCAGACTATATTTGTTGATGTAATCAGGTCTTATAAAATTACATCAGAGTTTAATCGCGTGAAATTTGAAATCTACTAAATCTGGTCGACGGGCTCACGCAGACAGGAGGTATGCGCAATCGCAAGTCACGGATGTACCTCGGATAGTTCATTATCATCGGGCTCTATCTGTTCTTGGCGGCTTATCGCACGCGACAACTCCATGCAGTTGAAGTATAGGTGGAAAGTCGCGCAAAATCCGCCGGACAACTTGACACTGGACAAAGTGGTCGACGACTACTGTGTCCAGTGTGTCAAGTTGTCAACATAAATGTTTGGAACGCGAGCTGAATGCAGGTTACAGCACAAACGTTTCGGCTTTTGCTCTTAGTAGCTGAGCAATGCCAAACACAGCAGGCGACGCGAAATACTGTGTGCCCGAAGTGCCGGCATCCTTTTGCATCTTGTTTGCCTGTCTTTCGTCGTTGCGGAGGCGTACAGAGCACTCGTACATGAGCTCTTCGCGACTCGAACGCGCGAGCAGATACATGAGCATGATACAAAAGCGAGCAGCGCCTCAACTGGCCAACCCGCTTCCGGAACACCGTTGGCGCGTCAAAGAAGAAGGTATACCGCACCCGCATATAAAAACACGACGACACAGTCATTGCAAGATCAGCTAGCCATGTATCAGACCTTTGACAAACACCGAATGGCCGCAGGATACGCAAACCGACTAGTGCCCAGCGCTTACGTCGAAGCCTCAAGACGCACGAGAAAACAAAGCAAGGCGTAGTTGCCCAGTTCTCGAAGGCAACATTTGGCATGATCCGATACGAGAACGCAATCGTTGCTGTAATTGTTGTTCGAACAAGAGGATTGCTCGTTGGTGACTTCGACATGTGGTGGTATCGGATAGTGTTATCACTATCTTTTGCACGGTAGATCAACGGCGAGGTTTACGGGATATGCCTGCTTTCAGTCGCTACCCCGTAGTAGATTTTGTGAGGGACCATGTCGTACCTGACCTGCGAAACTAGCCACGAGGGAAGCAGCACTGGTCAAAGTGGATTCTTTTGCGTACAGCCAAGAACTTCAGACGGGTCTACGTCAAACAATGTAGTGTCCAGCTGAGGGCAAGTGATGTGCAACGCTCATGTTTGTGGCAGCCCATCGCGTATCCGTCACGCCACAGACATATTGCTCAGGCAAACTAATGCGTAGCACAAGCAAGCACGTATGAGCAGTCGATTCACATACATTGACAATCCATGAGTACACATACTCACACATCGCGAGTCGATTCTTCTGCAAAGCCACAGCTTCTTGCCTTATGCTCGTCGCAAGTAGACCCGAACGTGCATGTAGCAATTTTGGTGGTGTAAGAATCGGGGCATTATCAATAAGTATAGGACTTCGACCGATGTCAATATGCGCCAGCTCACGTACGTGAAAGAGCTGTGTGGGAGCAGCCAAGACCGTGACGAGTCAAACAACGGGCGGCAAGTGACGGTGGCAATTCGCTCACGCAGTCGTTTCTCTCTCTTTGCCTATGCGCTCATTCGCACAATGGGGCCTACAAGATATCGTAAAAACTAGCCGACGTTAACGTGCATCTACGTCAGCCCGACTATTAGCGCGAACGCGTCTATTCTTGACGCGAACGCGCACACTATGATCGAGCACACTGATCGAGAAGAATCATCGTGGACAACCATACATATCACTGTGGCTTGACAATAGACAGGGTCTCCTTTCACCCACTATCAGGTTTAGCTCCGAGTCTTCGAGCAAACGTGAACCCGTCATTACATCGCAAATATGCCGAAATATTCTCTTGTGCTTGTACGACACTAGAACAAGTCAAGTCACGACGAATTGTGGCCAAAAGGTAGCTTCTACGCGACGTCTCAAGCAAGGCTATTACAGCAGATCGCACACTACACACCCAGTAGCCGTCCACGGTCGTCACGAGTCTCAAGTGCGTTGTCAACCTTCGTCAAAAGTGTGCTACCACGACTTACATACAGGAGCATAGCATACTCGAGTCGGCAATATGTCGCAGTCATAAACAAAGATATCATCAGGTCAAGGGTACGTCGGCTCTCCGTATAAAGCCGCATAGCGATACCCTCGTACATGAAGTGAACAGCCAAACAATTGACCGGGCCCATTCAACACATCCACGAGCATCCTGCATGCAGGTCCTTTGTGCAATTGGTATTTATGTATGGCATCTACAAATGGTCACCATCCATCCCACGTCAGCCAGCATATGTCAATTGCCTCACATGACGCACCGTGGAGTGAGGAAAAGGGCTCACAAACCAGACCTTGACTCCACATCCTAAATTAGGATTAGAAACCAAAGACGGACGATCCAACAAGACTCGGGACGCGAGCTGCATCGAAAGGTTACAGAAGCATATTTTACGTCACGTCTTCCGACTAGTGCGTACTTACTGGACCATCGCGACACAGAGAAGATAAAGTCCATTAATCTATCTACTTTCAAAATATCCAGCGATAATCTCTCGGTGGACAACGCTGCAAGCGATTAACACCTGATCCCATACTGAGTCTCATGGACGCATTTGCTGTCCCACAGCGGCTATTTGCAGGCCATAAACGCCGCGCTGAAGCGCTTCGTACCAACAGATCTGTGTTCTTCACTGCCGACGACTTCCATACGTTCTCCATCTACGGATATAATCACGAGTCGCGTCTATATGGAGAGCTATCGACTCGTCGACAAGCGCTTGTCGATCGGCCAACTCGACGGTCGATATCGTCTCCAAAGGGCTCTGTGCCGATCCAAAGAAGAGCGAACGAGTCGAAGCATTTGGTGCAATTGCTCGTGGACATGATCGAGAATCAGCGGATACACGCACCGGATAATCGCGTCGAAGTGGATAATGCCCGTCGCCGGATATCCAGATATTCGGTGGTTGAACACGAACAATATCTGGCGCTGCAACGCAAGATGCATCAAGCGCAACAGGTGCGCAATGCAATAATTGTTTTTTGACGATAGGTTTACGGTCTACAGAGAGACTGACTGACGGACGAGTTATTGTTATTTTCGTTATATTTGTTGGTGATGGTGGATGTGGACTTATATGTATTGGATCGCAATAATGTTCAGCGCGGACTTCCAGCAGTGCTCGCACTATCACGAGAGGAAGCAGAGCAGTGGCAACAGATGAAAGCTGAAGTTGCGTTGGAGCAAGTGATTTTTTGTCGCATGATGGCGAGAAGTTTGGCGCCAGAAGCTGCTGTGAAGGAGGCGTTCGTGCCGCCATTTGCTGCGTCGTGGGTACGCACGTACCTTTTGTTTTACTTGTACGGTAGTCATGAGATCGATGATAATGCTAAGATGTTGTCCGTGATACGAGCAGTATGCTGCAATGGTGACGCAATGCTGGAACGACATTTACCGGCTGTACCCGCGGTGGTTCGAGCCGTGTCTGACTGTAGCGTTACCAAGTGGTGCTGTCTCTACCGGCTCTGGGTGTGCGACGATCAAGGCAGAAGAGGTTGCTGCACGCGGCTCGTGCTGCACGATCGACCTGACCAAACTAGTGGCTGGCCAGTTACTGAATGCTGCAGCAAACGAGAACAAAGGTCTGGACGTTGCGTTCCCGCGTCAGGTCATCTCTGCCGACCATCAGGCAGCGCAGTTGGTCGAGGCGTTCGACTGTGACGTTGCCATCTCGTCGTCCACGCTGGTCACACTCTTTGACAGTGATACGTCCACCCACTTTTCTCACGTGGTAAGGCAAACGACAACTAGAGTGTGTACCAGATCGCTTGTCCAAGTACTGACTGTGATTATTTAGCCCGCGGAATGGGGCATTCCTATGAAAAGCAGAGCAAGCGTTTGTGCAAGCACTGGCGCGACGAAGAAGCGTGTGTTTCTGGACCGTCCCCTGCCAGGTGGTAATCCAGGGACGCGAGAGAAGGTCGCAGAGGCGGGACGAGCTGCATTGCTGTCACGCTTTGAGGTGAGCGTTGTAGATGCTGTCGTACACGGCCAAAAACGAAAACTGAGTGTAACGAGCGCTTGTCACAGGCCGAATCTGTTGTAGACGGGTCCACCGGCGGCCGAACGGCATACCATATCTGGCAGCTACACGATCGACGGATACTCGTGCGCAGCACGACACATGTGAACATGATGGCACCTGCCAGCTCAGGCGGTGCGTCGCCGTCTGTGACTGTACCGAAAGGTGAACAGCAGAAGGAGCAAACGGTCACACCGCTGAGCGTGTTCGTGAAGCCAGACTACCATTTGCTTGGCGTCGAGGAGCAGCTGACTACGAGTGAAAGGTGTCGTTTCTGGCTGCATTCGTGGCTTCGTGGCGGCTCGCCGGTACTTGTTGCCCGGGTGGACCCGACGTCAGGTGTCGTTAGCTCGTGGCAAACGTACTCGCCGGCGTCTCTTCTCTACGGCGACAAGAGTCAACAAACTCTTCCACTCGAGTGTTTTGAGTAAGTCGTACATTTGTGCACAGCGCTATCCACTTCGTATAGCAAATGTCTCACGACTGACGGACCGTATGTGTGTGTGTGCTGCGCACGGGTCAGCCCGGCATCAAAGTTCATGTGGCTATCGCTGCTGTTTGCAGGCTTAGCAGATCTTCCAGTAGGAAAGTACCTCTTGCAGCCGCAAGATGCCACCGGTCCAAGCACATTTGGTCAACAACGTGGCGGTGTGCAAGTACTCATGGCTACAGCAGCATCTGGATCGGAAGAAACACGAGTGGTTGACTTGTATAGCTTTATGCCAACGACAAGCACGAGCGATGACGAAGGTGGCGGTGATGGATCAGCAGCTTCGACCACGGTACCCAGCTCAAAGCCCATTTTCTCGACACTGCCTGCGTGGAATCGTTCCGACCGCATTCCGTACACGTACCAAACCGGTATGTACTGCGTCTCCTTTTTCCTCGAAGGACGTTGCCCCAATGTGCTCCAGGACAACAGCTGCAACCATCTTCACCTGCAGTTGCCGCCACAAAGTACAAGGACCGCCACGCGCCACGTCAAGTCCAAGCGCACGTACTTTGACAATTACACCAAAGTGCTGAAAAAAGCCACACCACGCAACCAGTTGCAGCTGTTGACTCGGCCCGAGCGCGTGATGCTGAACTACGCATTCTGCGGCGAAGAGGCCGTTCGTTCTTCCGACGTCACAACAAGTGCCGACCTGCACGCTCCACTCCATTGTTCCAAGACTCGACCCGAGTGCACATTGCCCCATCTGACGCTTCACCAGGTCCTCGAACGTCTTGCCGACGACCTCTTACGCAAAGGGCGAGCGAAACGTCGAGCTCAGAAAACCGAACATCGGCTCAAACGTGCCACCAAAGTAAACCAATGCCCAACGTGACTACCACTTGCGCCCATGTTGCACTGTTGTTCCCCCGACAGATGTACTGTACTTGGTATGTATGCTCTATTTTGTCCCAACTGTCCCCACGTGCATGTCAAACGCTAGCCCAGAACGAAAAGTGTACGCACAGTCGTACACGTCGTCGTCCGAACCAGTCATTAAACCACTTTGCGTTCACGACAGCACCACCTGAAGACCGAGAGAAGAGAGAGTACGTTTGTTGAGAGCGCAGCGGTACGGACGTCGCGAAGTGTACGACGAGCAGCGCGTCGCCATGCAGAGCGGACGCGTCATGACCGGTCGGGACGAGCGGCGCAACCCGCTCGTGAAGCAGCTCGTGCTGGAGAACGACGGGCCGGCGAAGATCAGTCACCTGAACTTTGGCTTATTATCAGAGATAGACATGATGAAGATGTCGGAACTGCGCGTCCAGTCGAAAGACCTGTTCCAAGTGCAGACCCGCGAACCCGCTGCACTGGGCGTACTGGACAAGCGACTGGGCGTCTCGAACAAGAAGGACTCGTGTGCGACGTGCCACCTCAAGCTCGCTGACTGTGTGGGTCACTTTGGCTACATTAAGCTCGAGCTGCCTGTGTTCCACATTGGCTATTTTCAAGCCATTACCGAGATTTTGCAGAACATTTGCAAGCACTGCAGTCGCGTGTTGCTGTCGCCTTTGGATCGTGCGACGTTTCTCAAGCGCATGCAGGACCCCCGTGCCGATGTCTTGCGGCTAGTGGGTCTTCGGAAGAAAATTGCGGCGCTGTGCAAAAAGACTGTCAAGTGTCCGTACTGCGACGCGCTGAATGGCACTGTGCGGAAGATCACGAGCACGACGCTGAAGCTCGTGCACGAAAAGTACCGAGCAAAAGCGACCCATGACCTGCGCAATGTCTTTGTCGCGCAGTTTGCCGAAGCGCAAGCGCAGAATCCAGAACTCGGGCAGCACTTGTCGAAAGCACAGGAAGATTTGAGTCCGCTGGTCGTGCAAGCGCTGTTCCAAGCGATTCCCGATCAAGACTGTGCCTTGTTGTGGGTCGATGCGGACGATGGACGACCGGAGAAGCTGATCCTTAGTGCTGTGTTAGTGCCGCCAGTGTGCATTCGTCCGTCTGTCGCCATGGACGGCGGCATTGGTAGCAATGAAGACGATATCACGGTGAAACTGCAGGAGATTGTGCAGGTGAATTCAGCGCTGCGGGCTGCACTGCAGAAAGGCGCGTCGTTGAAGATGGTGATGGAAGACTGGGACTTTTTGCAGATTCAGGTCGCGCAGCTCATGAACGGAGACACGCCTGGGCTAGTCAAACCGCCGGGCACGAAGACTGGCATTCGCACTCTATGTCAGCGTCTTAAGGGCAAGCAAGGACGTTTCCGTGGCAACTTGTCGGGCAAGCGTGTTGATTTCTCAGGCCGCACGGTTATCTCGCCGGACCCGAACTTGCGGATCGATCAAGTAGGTGTCCCAGAGGACGTGGCAAAGACGATGACGTACCCGGAAAAAGTAACGCGTTACAATCTCGAAAAGCTACGCAAGTGCATCGTAAATGGACCTCATGTGCATCCTGGAGCAAACATCATCCGTATCGAAGGTCAGAAGTTTACGAAAAACTTACTGTACGGTGACCGCGCCAGCTTGGCGGACGAACTCAAGATTGGCGATGTGGTAGAGCGTCACATGGAAGATGGCGACATTGTGCTGTTTAATCGCCAGCCTTCACTTCACAAGATGTCCATTATGTCTCACCGCGTAAAGGTGATGCCATGGCGGACGTTTCGCTTCAACGAGTGTGTCTGTTCCCCGTACAACGCCGATTTTGACGGTGATGAAATGAACATGCATCTTCCACAGACCGAGGAGGCCCGCACTGAGGCGATCACACTGATGGGCGTGGAGCAGAACCTCATCACGCCCCGCAATGGTGAGCCGTTGGTTGCAGCCACGCAGGATTTCCTAACGGCTTCGTACCTGCTCACCCAGAAAAACATCTTTTTCAACCGCGAGCAGTTCTGCCAGGTGATATCGATCATGAGCGATGCAAGTGAGCACATCGAGTTGCCCCTTCCGGCCATCGTGCTACCGGTGCGGCTTTGGACTGGCAAGCAGGTGATCAGCCTTTTGATAAAGCCCAATTCACAAACGAAGGTTCTAGCCAACCTGGAGCTAAAGGAGCGCAACTACACGAACAACAAGTACATGTGCTGGAAAGACGGGTTCGTGTGCTTTCGCAACAGCGAACTCATTTGCGGTAATCTGGGCAAGAAAACGCTTGGTGACGGCAGTAAACAGGGTCTATTCTATGTGCTTATTCGCGATCACGGATCTCACGAAGCCGCCCGGTGCATGAATCGTTTGGCGAAGCTCTGTGCACGCTGGCTTGGTAATTTCAAAGGGTTTTCGATCGGTATTGACGATGTGACTCCCTCGGAGGAGCTTGCAAAGCAAAAGGAAAAGCTGCTTCAGGCAGGCTACGACGCTGCGAACAGTTCAATCGAAGACTACCGGCAGGGCAAATTGTCGCTAAAGCCCGGCTGTAACGCTATCCAGTCGCTCGAGAGCGAGCTCAACGGCTTGCTGGGTAAGCTGCGTGAGACTGCTGGTGCCGAGTGTATGCGCACACTGCCGTTTCACAACAACCCGCGTATCATGGCTGAGTGCGGCTCGAAAGGCAGTGCCCTCAACATCTCTCAGATGATGGCCTGCGTGGGTCAGCAGTCAGTGGGCGGCAAGCGTGTGCCGGAAGGCTTTGTGAACCGCACTTTGCCGCACTTCCTTCCACACGCTCTGCACGCGGCTGCCAAGGGGTTTGTGGCCAACTCGTTTTACAGCGGACTGACAGCCACTGAGTTTTTCTTTCATACGATGGGTGGGCGTGAAGGTCTCGTCGATACTGCTGTGAAGACGGCCGAGACAGGGTACATGGCTCGCCGTCTTATGAAGGCTCTGGAAGATCTGTCGTGTCAGTATGACCAGACAGTGCGCAACTCGGAAGGATCGGTAGTGCAGTTCACTTACGGCGACGATGGACTGAATCCGGCATTCATGGAAGGCGATGATCGACCGGTTGACTTTCATCGTCTGCTGGAGCATATTCGCAACACATTACCTGATCGCGAGTCCCCTGCACTGCTTCCGTTTGAGCTGCGCCGTCTCGGCAAGCAGGTGGTGCAGCGTCCCCAGTTTCAAGCAATTTTACCGACGGGACGCAAGTTCTTGATTGAGATCGAAGAGTTTTTGGGTAGCGTTGCAAGTGAAATCGCTTCGAATCGGACAGGCTGTGGGATCGAATCAATGGATACGGATGTGAAGACGTACGCGTCGAAGCTAGAGAAGGCGTTTGATGACGATGAGGCAGCTAGTGTGCTGAAGACCAAGTCGGAAGCTGGCGGGGGGACAAAAAAGGAAAAGAAGATCCAGATTTCCACGAATTTGGAAAAGCTTGCAAAGGTGCGTGGAAGACGACGGTTGACGAAGCCTGGTGCCGGGTCGGAAGAGGACACGGATAACTCGGATGAGGACATGGATCTGGATCTGACCACCTACAAGAGTAAGGGGCTGGACAAGGTGGGTCTGCCTGAGTGGGAACGCGGTCGTTTCGATACTGCTAAGTGCCGAGCGGATTGGAGCGAAAGTGCGGGCAAGGACGGAACGTCTGAGAAGGAAGAGGCAGCGTGGCTGCTGTCGCACAACGTGTGTCGTATCACGGTCAAGCAAGTCGAGAAGTTGCTGGAAGTGTCGCTGTACAAGTACAACCGCGCTGGAATGGAACCCGGCGAGGCAGTGGGTGCTGTAGGTGCACAGTCTATCTCGGAGCCTGGTACGCAAATGACGCTGAAGACGTTTCACTTTGCCGGTGTTGCCAGTATGAACGTGACGCTCGGTGTTCCCCGGCTCAAAGAAATCATCAATGCGTCCAAGGTCATTAGTACACCCATCATCACAGCGGCGTTGGTGTGCAAGACGGACGAACGCTCGGCGCGTATCGTAAAGGGACGCATTGAAAAGACTACGCTAGGAGAGATTGCCGTGCACATCAAGGAGGTCTTCGCTCGTGACCAGGCGTACCTTTCCGTAAAGCTGGACTTGGCTGCCATCGAACAGCTACACTTGAATGTCACAGCTCGGTCTGTGCGTAACAGCATTTTGAACGGCGTCGGTGTAGGCTCGCGCGGTGTCCTTCGTCTGTTGAAGGAGCAGCACGTGCTGTTAAACGCGCGTTGTCCTGACAAACTGCGTCTACTAGCGCCGCCGAACTATAAGGGCGCCCAGGGCGACACGCGTGGTGCTTACTTTGCTTTACAGGCACTCAAAGCAGAATTGCCTGGTGTGATTGTGCAGGGTATTCCGACGGTGAACCGTGCGGTGATTAATTACGAGGAGGTGCAGAAGGAGGATGCAGTGAAGTCGCTTCATTTGCTGGTTGAGGGCTACGGTCTTGCTGAAGTCATGGGCATTCCCGGCGTCGACGGACTTCACACAACTTCAAACCACATAATTGAGGTAGAGAAGACGTTAGGCATTGAAGCGGCGCGTGAGCTTATCAGCTCCGAAGTAAACTACATCATGAGCGCTTACGGCATCGGGATTGACCGACGTCACTTGATGTTGCTGTCGGATATCATGACGTTCAAGGGCGAAGTACTGGGCATCACTCGTTTTGGCATTGCGAAGATGAAAGAAAGCGTGCTGATGCTGGCGTCGTTCGAGAAGACTACCGATCACCTCTTTGATGCTGCAGTTCACTCACGCACGGACGCTATTGTGGGCGTCAGCGAGTGTATTATCATGGGCATCCCGATTCCTCTGGGAACGGGTATTTTCAAGCTGCTCCGTCAAGTCGAGAAACCCCGCTTGCAGCAGAGGCGGCCGCTTCTTTCCAGCCCACTCTAGACTTACGACAACCAGCAAACGTTCGACACTGAGGAAGGATAAACGCCTGTAATATTGACAAACCGCTTGCGTGAACAGGTGAAGTTGTGGTGTCATTCTTTGGCCGTGCATTCGCCTTTCGAACAGCATTGGGCAACAAGTTCCAGAAGTATGTCTTGTCTAAGCAGTCCAACCAGGACAGCAAAAGCGTAAGACCTTGTGCTCTTTGTACAGCAATCAATGCGTCAAGAAAGGTTTGAGCATTGTCACATGACTAGCATTGTGCGACAAAAGGGACTGTCGGAACGTATCAGCTGGTTCGCCGTTTGTTAAGGAGGCAGACGAGTATAAAAACAATAACACAGTGCAACCCACGTGCACATGGAAGACATCACGAATGTAGTGGGCCAGTAATGAAAGTTTACTGGTATGGTATTGTTCGCTGGTAGCCCACTATCAATCTCTATCGCACGTGTCGTTCGTTATCTGTGGACATTGTTCCTTTAGAACCGCATCTCAAGACCCCATGACGACAGTCAACTTCATCTGTCGTTTCGCTGTTTTGATGATCGTGTCGCCACTTCTCATGACGGCAAAAGTCGACAACAATACCGTTGACATCGTCCACGTAAGCTGATTCATGTTTCGTACTCGGGGCATTTGATCACGCGTCGCACGTAGTTTTGCAGTCCCCGTAGCTCGTATAAACATATAGTGCATCCTGTTGCCAATCTTTGTCTCCCGAAAGCGTATGTTTGGCGCTGCCGGTTGTACACGTACCAAATGAGGTAAATAGCGGTGTATCGAGCTTGGCAGCAGCAGCATCGATATTGTTTCGAATACAAGGCGGTTGTAAGAAGTCTATGCAGATTGCACGATCGGCCATGTTAAGGTATTTGTTGAGCGGCCGAGTGCTGTGACGATGCAGTCTCTCATTCATACTGCAATTAACATATAAAAACTTCAAACGTACGCTTGTCACAAACAATGCGGTTGCCTCTTAGACATGCGCGGTTGACTCTGGCTTGCATTTGCCATGACAGTGAAAGCGAAGTTGTATCTATCATAACGTTACAATCGGATCCGCGAGAGACAAGTCCGCGGCCAAGCCCGCCGTTCGAGTTCGGCTGAAAATGAGCGTTGTAGCCTGCGGTGTTTGTGAGATGAGATCTCGTATTCCGCCAACGTAAGCCTATGTCCAACCACATTCAGTGATTCATTGCAATGTCTGTATACATCTGAAATGCTGGACTCAAGTTGCTCTATCATCTGCTATTACCAGTATCTGATTCCGTGATGTAGCCGAGTATTTGAATCAGTACAGTCGTCTTTCCATATAAGATCCCCTACTGAGGGTAATCTTCCTGTTTGAGGAACTCTGTGTCCCGTATCAAGCTACGTCGCTAAATTTTTGTATGGTGACTCAATATAAGAGACTTAAGAAACAGGGTAACAAAACAGCGCACCAACACACGTTTCCCCTCTCAATTGGACTTGCCACAGTCTTGCATTGCCTTTCATCTCGCACATTTGCTTTCGTTCCACCTTAAACATGTCGACAAAGCAAACGATTCTCGCAATGGAGCAAAAGCGTCAGATACAGGTGCACACCACACGCACACTCGGCATCAAGTTGGCTCAAATACAAGACTGAGTCAGAGAGAGGATAGGGTTTTGGATCACAACGGCAGCAGAACGTACTCGCCAGGCATCGGACAACGCGTTCCTTGCCACGGGTAGGAAGAGCAATCGAAAGGTGCTGTTTTCAGCGTTGAAGCTGCGTTCCTCGCATACTATCGTCTCAATGACGGCAAAGCAATTCTTACAGACGAGCTACCACGAGAAGGAGATCGCTCAATCCGAGCCGCTCAAAGACTATGCGAGAACGACCTGCGGCTTTCGAATGAGTGGCTGCAACAGATCTGAGACTCGACACGGCATCCAGCAGCATGTGCTTCACGGCGAGGCAGACTCAGTTGATCGCGATCAATTGGCAGTAAATCGATTCGAAATTGAAGAGCTGATTCGCCAATCTCCACCACGTATGTATTCGATTTTGACGAATCAGCTCTCTTCTATTGCATACCTCCAAACAAGACACTGACAATGTTCAAGCGCAACGAAAAGAAGTCAGAAAAGGATCGTATCACAGTCGCAATGTTCTGCAACATGACCGGCACCGAGAAGATGGATCTCGTCGTCATCGGAAAGTCGAAGCTACCACGAGCATTTCGCAAATCTAACACCAAGCAAATGAAGTTTGTGTACTTTAACAGCCAAAATGCGTGGCAAAATTGGTCAACGTTTGATGAGTGGCCGTCATTTCGACGCCAAGATGCACGGGGGTGGGTGCTTCTCTTGCTGGACAACGCGTCATGTCACTATGTCGCCCCTGAATGATACAATGTCAATCTGGCATTCCTGCCGCCAAACATGACAGCACTTTTGCAATCGCTCGACACAGATACGTTTGGATGGATGGTCGCTTGACCAGCAATATCTAAAATGGTATTTTTTGATATGAATTATTCGGTCATTAAAAGCGCGGCATCGAAAAGATTTGTTCGATAAATCCTCAATGCAACTCACACCAGAAATCTACAGATATTTGAATATCCTGATGACTTGCTCTTCGGGGCTATATCGAACTGGGAGAAGGTTTCCGAGCAATAAATTCTTAATTGATGAAGCAAGTGTGATATCGTGGAGGAGGTGAAGATGGACAATCGCACCTAACTACGTGACTACAACAAACGCATTGATCGATATGTTGAGGACCGGCAAGCCAAGATCATGGAGGATTTCACTGGTGGCGTCAGTGTCGACGAGTATATTGTTGCGGATGAAGACGAGACAATCGAGTGCGACTCATACACGATAGAGTTTAAGGCGATTGAGGACGAACGTGATGGTGACAAATCCGATGAGGTGACAATTAGGTCATCCGAGTATCTAGAATGTTGCATCCGTCTGTCATCCTTTCTTTTGCTACAACACAAGAGTGATAAATTGACCAAGAAGCTGGCAAGTATCACCAAGTACGCTATAAAGTACTGCTCGGTGAGAAAGACTCAGTAAACCATGGATCCATTTCTAAGAATGGGTTAAGATTGACACTCCATATAAGAAAATTTTATACAAGGAACGAGACAAGCGCGCCACACATTCTGGTCCGCTATATGGAGGCACAACTATTATACTATTGATCGATGTTTGGACCAGGAACGAACTGTTCGATTAATGTTAGGATCGAATATCGATTCTGTTACATCAATGCAATTTGTATAAAAATTTAAAAACGAACGGATTTGCACGCTCCCCTTATTCCGCTCCGTCGGTTGACATCCTAGTAACGGTCTAGTGATCGAATACATGATCGGCCGCCGTGTTATCTAGTTCGCTGAGAATCGAGGCGCGATGACCAATGACGAGCAGGTGAAATGTACAAAGAGTTCAAAGAGGTAGACGGCGTCAATGGTATTACTGTTAGAGGATAAAGGAATGGGTAGAAGTGTAATGAAACGCACAAAGTAACGTGAACAAGCTGCTCGGATGTTCCGGCGGCCATCAAACAAATCACGTCTTGCATCTTCAGAGGCTATACTGGCCATCGTCTGAAAAGGAATCGACGATAACCAAGCAAGTGATCCAAATTAATTTCAATCTTGTCACGTCTTTATTCTGAGTGGGCCTTCGGATCACACTAGTACACAGATGTGTATTGTTGCTCCGTAGCTAAATGTGTGTAAATTTGCTACAGTTGACTCGTCAGTCAGATGTGAGTCCCAAGCCTATATCCTATATACGCAGACTGCATCCGCTGTTTCATTACACCCAGCGAAGATACGACCCCCGGGGACGCGGACCATATGATTAGCAAACAGAGGCACCATCATGCTTATTAACACAAGGCGGGTTCTCTGAATGCCAATTGTACTCGACACAAACGCGTGCGTCTTGGCACTGATAAGATCGATAGTTGCATTGACAACGACGAATGACCGGATCTGTGGCTATCCCTTCTACTGAGATGGCATCATAAATTGCGGTACCGTATCCTCGGGATGATGTCTCGATAGCTGAGTGAATGCAAACAGCATATATGGACCAAATAAGCTTCTACAAAACATGCCCGGCGCTTTGTCTTATCTCACGCGAGCTATTTGCAAGTGTTGAAGTACTAGTAGTAGTCGACTGGTACGTGTAACGGAGTGAGAAGGTTGCGATTTATTGACACCAAATTTGGATTTAATAGAAATGTCGTCCTAGTAAATACTTCTTTCTTGAATGAATAAATGCAAAGAGCTGAAGAAATATTACCGTCAAAGGGTATATTCGTTACCTTGCCGCTCATTGATTGATGTAGGACACTATATCTCTTAACTAAATCATAATCGCTGCTATACGAGCACAGTGTGTGTTAAGCGAGTAGTTACGTTTAGAGATCGTAGTTTATTACAGTGTATATAATATCAAAGCAATTTTCTTTGGTGACTTGACCGTATTTTATCTAGCCCTACTTATTACATCCACCAAGCGTGTACTTTTGTATAGATAATCGTTCTTTGTACGTACATTTGCTTGGAATTGCGAGGCATCTACTACACTATGTCCGTGTAAGTAGCTTGTTATATATCAGGACAAGCGGATGGTGCCCCTTATACTATTCAGTTCCGCTATAGCAAAATTAAGATTGAGCACAGACAATAAGATGGACTTTTTGTCAGGCTACTGCAAAGATATCTTGGGATACCTCGCGAGGGTTTTTCGGTCTAGATGTAAAAACCAATGAATAAATAAGTACAAGTATCGGCTGAGTCTGTGTGAGCATCTAAGGTCAAGTGATGATTGAAAACAAATTAATAGAAGAGAAATAACATAGAATAGAACACTTTTTATCGGAAATTTGTAGAATAGGACACTATTTATATTCACAAGATAGGACACTTTTTGTCTTTTTAGTTTGATCCTCGCGAGCGACGCAAGGAAGTGTCTTTAAGTTCCCCTGCGCAGTCTCGAAA